ACACTTCGCTGCCAAGTCATTGTTGGACGGCCTCTGACTCTCTTCCAACCTTCATATGGTTGTCCGAAAAGAGCACTTCGAGGAAGTCGGTGGAATGGCCCACGCAGCACGTGGCCAAGCCAGCGCAACCTATGCAGTGTGATCAGTTCATCTATCGAGGGTGAGTTATTTCTCCCAAATACCATTCGACGAACTTCAGCATTGCTGATCCGGTGTTCCAACTAGATTCGGGCAATACTCCGAAGACATCGATGGTCAAACTCTGAAAGTCTTTTGACGACCTTAGCGCGCAGCGACCAGGTTTCTGATCCATATAGTAATATGGAGCGCACCGCAGCATTGTAAACTCGACCCTTGACGAATAAGCCGTCACGCCTATGCCACAGGTGACGCAGGTTCAAAAAAGCTGCTCTGGCCTTCCCAATCCGGATGAAAATATCTTTCGCGACACCATCGGGACTGATACAGCTGCCCAGGTAAACAAATTTGTCTGCTATCTCATTTAGGTATTCTGAGATGCCTACACTTCCAAAGACTAAGTCAGGTGTGAGACTAGAGCACGCGGTTGACAGGGTTTGGACAACGGTGAACGATTGCTTCAGCTATGTGCTGACCACATGCTGTTTTCGTGCAGTACTAACTTCCGAAATAGCTTAAGTCGTCTGGTCACATGATGTCCTTCAAAAGCCCCGTGGCTCCGAAATTAAATTGATCACAAAGCTATCAGTTACCGATGGCGCGGATCAATAACTGACTGTCGCTCGTTTTGGAACACATTTGTGGATTTCGACCACGGATCGTCCGGAATCGCTTCTCGCTTCGTTTTCCAGGGGCGCAACAAATGCAAACAAATCACTTGGCAGCCGAAAGTCCATTAGATACGGATGTTAGACGGATTCACCAGAACCGTCTTCCGGAGTCTCTTCCAAATGCTCCACCATCATATGTGTATTCGTAATGGGAAGAGATCGCCAACTCTTTGCACAGCGCTGGAAGTTTGACTTGTGACAAGGCGCTACCAGGAGGCGGCTGTCGGACCGGACAGTGGCACTGCTTAAATCTCGCAGAACTATCCGAGGCTGTTCCCAATATATAACTTGACGCGACGAACTATTGAGCGTGCGAGCTGACTGTGAAGTATGACGGACACAGAAAACCAAATAAATGGAAGCGGTTCAGAAAACCGGTAGTGAACAGAAATTATTTAAGTCGATCCGTGCGACCAGTTCACGGAAAACACCTGTAAGGAGTCATGAGGGCTGGGATACTGCCAGGTTGCCCAAGCCTAGACAGGGGAAGTCGAGAGGTGAGGTCGGGTTCGAAAAACGGACCTTCCGGTCAGTAAATTCGCACTCTAACTACTTGGTCCATCTCGCCCCCAAGGAAACCACCTGTGACCGAAACCATGAAGGATCGGAAAGGAGTGACCATCTTGAATAAAGAAGAACGCCTCGATCGATCAGCAAGCAACCATTGAGTTCCGCGTCGAAGCCTCCTTGAGATCGGGGAGAAACAGTAGTTGCGAACCGAACTCGGTTGTCAGTTGGTCAACAACCACTAGACGTACACGGGCTATCACTCGCTCGAAACAACAGAGACTGTCTTGCTACCAAGCATTAGTATTCGCCGCTAAATAGTGCAGAGAATACCTCTGAGGAAACTGCTCACAAGGTTGCTGAAAACTTTTCGACAGCCCACGACCGGTTTCGATCCTCTTGGGGCTCATCAGGTAGGTGCAACCTTATGTTCCGCTTGAACCCAAACTGGACTGTTTTTCGAGAATTAAAACTCATTTGCAAATCAATTTGGTTTTCACGGGAGACGCAATTGAGTCTCTCGTTTACGATATTCTACAACTGAATGTGCTGAGGACCGTTAAATGAGGCCGATCAAGACTTTAATCATCGTTGATCCGAATGGAAACGACTTCATTCCGCACAAAACCGACTTTCGTTTTCACGCTAATCTACAGTTTCTACAGTATAGAATACAATGCGTACTCCAGGAATTGACGATCGAGTCCATAAATACCGTGGACACAGCTCAAGATAGCTGAGGCGCATACCTACTGACCAGCAGGTCCGTAGTTCGAACCCAACTGCTGACGACTCATTTGCGAACGGTCTTGCTTAATCTTTTTTCTAAAGAGGAATGTTTATCCGTAAATGAGTTCTTCTGAATACAGGCTGTATTGTGAAGACAAATGGTAGAAAGACACAATGACGTCAATAGCTATCAATACACCATGTTAGTTGGTTCTCGGTCACGTGTTGGAGACAACTAATAAACCATCGTTTCTAGGGAAGTAACGGAGTGCTATGCGATGGAGTTTTGAACAATCGCCCTGCTTACTATTTTCAACACACACACACACAAAGCATAAACTGCAGTGATTATTGATCAGGTGGCGGTTGATCCGTTCGCCGAGCCTGGTAATTGACTTGCAAATGTCTTGCCACCATACGGGGAGACATTATCAGTGCGCAGTTGGGTGGGTACTTACTGTGTGTAGTTGTATAGCATTTGAGGGTTATCGGTTGTTGGTCTGTTCGCCGAGCATGGCAGGTGGATTACAAACGGTTCATCACCAATCGAGGTGACATCATCAGTGTGAGGTTGTGTGGGTGAATACCTCCTCTCCTGCCTGTGTTCATATGGCTCCTAAACAGCATCTGGTAGCTCTGAAGGCGGTGTTCGCATAGTTTGATTGGTCCCCTATGGGTTGGTCTCTTGTATTTGATTGGTTCATCGGGCGCATTCGATTACACAGTTCTGTGTGTGATTGTTCTGTTGTGATTCGTTCGTTTTCTTCTTGTTTTGTGGTCTGGATTTGTTCCCTTGATTGGTTGATTTTGTTTTTGGTGGTTTTCATTCCTTTGATCCCGTTAGGCCGTTGATTATCGTTAGATTTCTTGATTTCCTACGTAGCTCAAGGTCCCGTGACTGTGTAGTTCTTTTGCTCGTAACGGCTGATAGATAGACTGGGTCAATATCGATGCGTTTATTGATCCATTTTTGTGTGGAGTACCATGTCTAGGCAAACTCTCGCTCCCGTTTTGATCTTGAGTAAGCAAGTATTTGAATACTGTCCAAATTGAACTTTTGTCCTTCTCTGTGGATTGAGACAAGTGATATCGGGTCATGTCTTCTGCTGGCAAGCTTGTGCTCATGTATTTTGGAAGCAAGTTTCCTTCTAGTTTGACTAATATAGCGTTTGTCGCAGTTTTTAGACCACGTTCATCTTCTTCACTGCATCCAACCTCCCCTTTGGTTTCGGTTTTCCTCAACGTGTTTGCAGGCTCGAAGGCGACTATAATTCCATGTTGCCGCAGATGTCGTGCAGTCATCTCCGCGAAGTTTCTGATGTACGGCAGTGTTATCTTCCTCTATTCTGGTTGTGTCAACAAATTAGCTTGGTGGTGGTCTCGTAAGTACCTCCGTATGAAATCCCTCGGGAAGCCGTTACTTCGGAATGTCTCGTAGAGTCCTCGCTCTTCTTTTTTCTCTTTGCCTCTGTTGTGTTGCAATGCGTCTCGATCCGTTTGAATAGGTTTCGAACACAGCGCCGTTTGTGGCAGTTCGAATGGTTGCTGTGGTAATTGAGAATCTGGTCTCTTTGCGTTTCTTTCCTGTATACTTCAGTTTGCAGTTGGCCGTTTGTTGTCCTTGTGACGAGCACATCTTGGAACGCCAATTTGTTGTTCTTCTCCGTTTCCATTGTCAAGGAACACGTCATTCGCTCGTAACAGTTCTTTTTTTCTTTATAATAGCAAATGTGTCGTCCACATATCGTACCCATATTTCCGGTTTGATACCTGGTAGCACGATCCACGATAAATCCAGAGATTAGTGACCCCATTGGCATTCCTCTGATTTGTTTATAGTATTCTCCATTCAACTCAAAGTAGATCGTCAGGCACAGATACAAGAGATTGGGACCATCCCAGATTTATAGGGAACCAATCAAACTTCACAAAGACCGCCTTCAGAACTACCAGATGCTGTTTAGGAGCCATATAAACACAGGCAGAAGAGGAGGAATTCACCCACTCAACCCCGTACTGACGATGTCACCTCGATTGGTGAGGAAACGTTTGCAATCCAGCTGCCAAGCTGGGCGAACAGACCAACAACCAATCAGCGCACCCGAGCCACCTACATCTCACAACACTGGTTATCTTTCAACGTGACTTGCAAATCGGCAGGCAGCGTTTTCGTGTGGCGTCGTTAGTTCGCTTGTCGTTGGGTTGTAGTATGTATTTTTTGAGTAGATTGATTATCCGAATAGCCCTCCGGTCTTTGTATCGTTTCTTCTCGCTTTTATTGGCCCCTTCTCAAGTTGCACTGCGTTGCGGTCTGACCTCCTCGAGATTGGTCAGTCTGGAGCACCGCCCTGTTGTCTCCACGGTAACCAATGGTGTCTTTTGGTGGTACTTTGACTTACTTTCTCCAATTAGATAGATATGTCACTTTGAGTCGGACTTTCCTGCCTGTTCTGTGAGTTCCTCGTCTAGTTCTGGCACCTTCCCGTTCTTATTGGTTGATAAATGAGGTCAATTTCGATTCAAATGGACGCATCAATCTGATTGGGGGAGGCGCCTAATCTATAAATCAAGGTACCATATTAAACACATGCGGACAAAGAGAAGGCACGAAATGCGCATCGATGATGTCTCCTCATGTGGTAACGAAGTGTTTGCAATTGAGTTCCAAGCACGACGAACAGATCAATAGCCACCTGATCAACAGCCAATCAAACTCAGCGGAGCTACCAATATTCCGACACATATTCATATACTGCATAGTGAAAGAATTATGTTCGCTACGGAGATGTACTGATCACCATTTCGCAACCGTTAGGAAGCTGGTTGTCCACTAAAACATTCTTATTTTCTAGCACACGAGCGTGATGATCTCACCCCTCCCCCAAGCAACTTTTCCCCAACAGCGTGCCCTTGTTCACTGCAGTGAATGCAAAGGAGATCCTGTTAGACACTCACGAGAATTGAGTGCGTCAGCCACAAACTCCAAATCGTCCGGATGAACGAGGTCCAGCAGGGTGTGATCCAGTAAGTCCGCCTGAGTATGATCCAGAGCAGAGAGAAAACTGAAAAAGAAAGTAACGCGAGAGAATGAAAAGGGAGGCTGTAAACATCTATCACGCAATGGAAATTATCAGAGAATGTGGTCAACAGTGTGTGAGTGAGTGACATCCGAGTGGTTAGAGCGCGAATTTACAGACCAGAAGATCCGTGGTTCGAACCTGACCTCTGCCGCATCTCGACTTCCCCTGCTTAGGCTTGGGCAACCTGGCAGTATCCCAGCCCTCGTGCTTCCCCCGGGTGGCATGGCACTTAGTCACCGAAACGAAAGGGTAGCTGAACGATTTTTTTCAACGTGGTATCAGTACCACATGGAATTGTTTCTTAATTATGGTCAACATTACCGAGTCAAGCAAATTACGCATTCGTTTGATTAATTCAATAAAACAAAGGTAATTGCGTCACTGATAGACGAGAAGTAAGTGATTACCGCAAAATGTGCATTACACGGTGGCAACCACGTTGTTGATCAAGATGGTAGTGTCAGATGCCAAATGGTGAAGCACAGTTAAGTTTGGAAACGAGTATGAAAAGGCGGCATTCCACATTCTGTAATTTCGCAATATCCTATTCTATAATATAAATTCACCAAAGTAAATGAGGGTAGATAGTTCAGCAAATACTGTACGCTTGAGCAACCAAGCGAGAGCAGCCAGATAGAGGAAAGTGTGAAAAATGAAGCTATCGTATCACAAATATAACCTCATGGTGGTCCTGTCGGACCTCCAAGTTCCAGGTTTCGTAGATGCGTGCTCACTAGGGATACGGGGAAGTTCATCTAATTCGTCACCTATTGGCTGAGTGATGAATAGGTCGGAATTTACTGTATTACGACAAGCCACCGAAATAAGAACGCATTCACCTCATAAGTTTGTAACCTAGATTCCCACTGGTCAGATGAGAAGATGAACGGATCTGACTGCCGGTTCGTTTGCCAAACTGGGTAATTTGATCGCAAACGATTCACCATCAGCTGCGGTGTTTATCTGGGTAGCTGTATAAGTTCCGGTGGACTGGCTGGAAATGAGATTATTTATCGAATCGGAAAGGCCAGGGCAGCTTTTGCCAACCTCCGATACCTATGGCGCCGACGTGATGGGAGCTGGTCTGTCAAGGGAAAAGTTCATACTGTGGTGGTGCGATCCATACTGCTTTGTCGAACAGAGACGTGAACTTTACGGGCACAGGACATACGGAAGATGTCATTGTTTGATCGTCGGTGCCTCTGAAGCATTGGTCAGGACTGGTGGGAATATAGGATTACTAGTGCTGAGGTATGCCAGATGGTCTTAGGAAGAAGGAACTCTCCCGCGATAGATGAATTACTCACGCTTCATAGGTTGCGCTGGTTGGGACGTGTACTCCGCATGCCAGAAGGCCGTCTGCCTCACAGAGCTCTTCTCTCCCAACCCTAAGCTGATTGGAAGCGACCTAGAGGTGGACAGTGTATGACCTGACAACGAAGTGCGAAAAAACTAACCGGCAAACTAAGTCTGTCTGAATGAGGACCCCGGAACTCAAATCACCAGTGGGGAAATGGCCCAGTCGTGCAGTCAGTGGCGCTCGTGCATCAAAGCTATCGCCTTCAATGCGTACCTACCCAATTTCTAAACAACCTGAACATGCCTTTGCCTCTATGGCTTGGCTGTATGTTCCGATTCCTCGTTTTCTGGTGATCGAAACTGTGGCAGTTGAAGCCATAAAACGTGTGCCGACGACACATGTTTTATGGCTGATAAACTGAATTGAACTGAGGTGTGTAGAACTGCGTTGAGATTGGAAGGCACTTCTAACCTCAACGCAGTGATAATGTTATGTCGATGAAACGTTTCCAAACGAACTGTCCAGCTCAAAGGAAAAAGTAGCATGTATCCTCACATGTTCAGCTATCAATAATCTGTCCAGTGGACAGAGCTATCTTACAAAATGAAGGGGTTTGCAATCCAAGAGCTTCATGCTATATTCGGATAGAGTCCACCAGGCGCCGTAAATCCCAAAGTGGGTGTCAGGAATTCAACCTTATACTCGACGCACTTCCAAGTTACCCTACTACGGTTGCATTCGGTGGAAGTCAGAGATCAGAGAGTTTATTGAAACCGACAGGGGCATCAAACACCCGTTGCTTCGCCACCATCAGCCTTCACGGCAGATGCCTCGCATCGCTGACCCTTTCACAGGGACACGACAACACGAATTGAGTAGACTTGAGACGTTGTCACATATCTCGTGTTGAGGCAAACAGACGCACGAGTTCCAACTGGCCAAGACAACAAACTTCAGTAGATAGTTATGCAATGAGCAAACAAGGAAAGTCGTCCATAATCCGGAGTATCCCATCATTAGTTCTTACCAAGCAACACAATGTGGTGGCATTGCACCAGATCACATGCTGGGAGTCAGTTTTGACGGAAGCAAGCAAACAATGGAACTCATCAGTTCATGAAGTCGAAATATTATGCACATCGTTCAGCTGTAGCACCCTTTCGGTGCCAGCTGCCATACCACCCGAAGGTTGCACGAGGGCTGGGATACTGCCAGGTTGCCCAAGTCAAGACGGGAAGTCGAGAGGCAGAGAACGGGTTCGAACCACGGACCTTCCGGTCAGTAAATTCGCGCTCTAACCACTTGGGCCATCTCGCTACATATGCAGTGTATGAAAACAGATAATGATCTTTGGCTTGTTCGCTGAGTTGGGCAATGGTGCGCTACGCGCCACTACGCTCCCTCACAACGCACTGATGATGTCACCTGGATTGGTGATGAAACGCTTGCAATCAGATTCCTTGGCTCAGCGAACAAGCCAACGATCATCTATGCTACATGAGCTACAAACGTGTGCTCGAACCCAATCAATGAGAAACGTTCAACCGACCAACTGCTATTTGTCAGCAATTTGTAGGAATTTTAGTTTTATCTCTTGGCTGCCCAAAGCAATGGTCTGTTAGAACGCAGTCATTTGAAGTTCAGCACAATCTTACAGCGTCCGATGGACTGATCCCCATGTCCGTGTGATGAAATGGTGTGACAAGTGGAGAAAAGACAGGAAAGTGTATCAAACAAAGCGGGAGAAGTAAGTGTCAGATGACCGTAGAGGTCAGTGAGTGTAAAACTTGACGTGGTCTTAGATTAGAATAGGTTACTGGGTAGTGATTCAAATGGGACCTGGGAAAGGGGTGTGACAGAACATGCGTCTGTAGTTGACACAGCGAGGCGATAAGTGGACAGATGTTAATACTGACAGGTCATTTCGGTTGATTTGAATTATCAGGATACTATGAGTCCACAACTATTGGGCGACGTTTTAAGATGAGTCTGCCAGAGAAGAGCAGAACTAAGTTTTGTTCGTGACCGGTGGTTCAAACTCAAGTACAACTGTCTTATTAAAAAGAATGAAAAGAATGAGGAACCATCAAATGAACCGAACCAGAAGAACTAGACTCTAGACTGGACCCAAACACATGCAGGTTTCCCCCACCGACCCAACACTTGTTCAACCACTCACACTAAAAATCCCTCGGCCGACACCCAACGGAGATTTAGCTTGACTTAGCTGATTGGTTCACCTTCCACCAACCTCGGAACCTAGTCATTTGGCCTGACGAAGCTTTTGTGTCAAAAGCGAAACGTTGCCCAGCAATAAATCTACCGACTGTCACCAAACTTTTTCGAGAAAAAATGAAGAAACCACTTTCAGTTTGTTCGATATCCCCTGTGGAGAGAATTCTTTCCTGAAAAGATGACTTTGTGACTAGCTCATGGTTCCACGTCAACGGCAGGAACCACGAGGGGTCCACTAGGCTACTGACAAAGTGAAAGTGGACTCAAATCACGGAAGTTTGAACGTTGTCAGATTCCCAACCTCCAGGTGCAAACGAGAGTATCGCATTAGGCCCACCATGAGATCAGTGCCAACATTCCGTACAACTGAATAAGCGGTATGTCAGAGCTTGAAGTCGTTTGGGGCAAGGCTATGTAAACTATGAAAAAGGATCGCTCAAACGAGTGAAGACTTCCATACGTTGGTATTTTAGTGCTCTGACAAGTAGTATTGAAACAAAATGTGGCCGGGATGCGCATATAGCCTCGTCCATCGGATACGCATGCGAGATGCTTGGAGAAAGTCAACTTCACATCTAGCCGAGGTGTTGGTAACAATTAGAAAATTTGACTAATAAATTGTGCATGTTGAATCCCGGCTGTGGGTCACAACAATGAAGTCACATTGTTAGAGAGACCGTCACAAGCGTTGAAAAACAAATGACACAATGCGCTGTACTGAAACACACAACATACGCAATTCAATGTCAAAAAAAGTGATACCCAACATTCAGATCAGATCATGTCACACGAGGTTAACATTCAGCTAAGACAGGATGTTTATGTTGAACTTAAAGCCGCATAACAAAGACCTCTAGCACCTTGAGGAGGCCCGCCCCGAAGGTAACATATTGCGTCTGATAAAGTAAACAAGGATCTGTCTAAACGACCTTCGGACATAGACAGCACATGATTGAGCCGGCACAACTGGTGAGGTTGCATCGATCTGTCTGTCAATCAATTAGTCAATCAACGCAATCACAACACGCCGTTCTATAGAGTAGCAATTACGTGGCTTTCACTGCAGTTTTGTGCAATAATATCGATCAATGAATGCAAGCAGTCGTATTGCAACTTCTTTACAATGGCAGCGCTGCAATAAAGCGCGCACTGCCCCCCCACGACAAAGCCGATAGGCCCGATAGACAACGACGCTAAAACTCGCAGGCTTTTCCGAGTTCACAACTCATTTTGTCGAGGACTAGGTCAACAGAAGTGGATTAAAAACCAAGGTATGTCTATCAGCTAAGTAGCACATTGTCTACTTCGTGGCTAACACCATTCTGAAGGAAGCCTGGAGTACAGCGCTCGTCTCCGCAGACGATGTCTAGGCACGTGTAACATATAGCCGAGCTACCGCAGTTGATATTGCTGAATGTTTTCAATGACTAAGGTACCTGTTATTCGC